AAGGAGACCACCTCCCCTCCCATGCCCCAGCACCAGTGTCATATATATTCTCCCAGCTCTTCACTGTGAAGTGTGGTATGGGCTCCCTGGAGGCAAGACTACCTTCCCTGCAGGCCTCCAATCCTCCTCTTCAGAGATGGGCAGTTTGAGCTCCTAGGTAAACAGGTCCTTCCCAGCATGTTTTAACATCCTGTCCTAGGGCATGGCAAATGTGAAAACAAAGCCAGCTACCACCACCCCATTTCTTTGCAGCTCGTCTGATTGATTTCTCAATTGTTGACTTTTGACTTTGAGGAAAGTCATTTCCCCTCTGTGGGCCTCACTCTTCTCATCTATAAAAAGAACGGGGAGCCACAATAGATTGGGGGTTAGAAATCATGTAAGGGAAAAGAACAGTTTTTAGTTAGGTCCTTAGAGTGTGACTTTTTGAAGAGGTCCATTTGGCATGTGTGCATGTGTATACACAGTATATAAAGCAACAGTGGTATCATGGGGAAAGCCTTGAATTTGTAATAGGACCTCTGTGGCTAGACAGAGAAAAGACCCAGTAGATGAAGAACAGTTATTGCTCAGATTACAAAATGCATTTTGGTGGATAACACATAGAGCTCATCCACCAGTCTGTGGATCCGGGACAGACAGTCCAGAGGTATAGGGAGCTGGACCTAGAATGAAACATGAAGAAATGGGCAGTGGAAAAGCTCCTTCTGTGACTCCCCATCTTTTCACAGAAACAAAGACTCATCCTTTAAATACCTAATTTTTACCAATGTTGTTTTATGACCAGGAGACAAGGAACAGAAGTTTATGCAGAATTGAAAATGAATATCACACAAAGGAAATGTAGAGAGGGGTGTGTGTGTGTGTGTGTGTGTGTGTGTGTGTTGGGGAGAGGGAGGCATTTTCATGCAGGCTATACCAGGTGTCCAATACAGAAGTTTGAAGTACAAATGTAAATGGCGTTGTCAGGGAAATATGAGATAGGAAGAAAAGATGTTCTGGTCATGTGACAACAGTGAGGGATGACAGCTCTACTAATATCCTTACTATGTCAGGAAAAATTGAGGAAGGTCTCCAACCCATTGGGTAGACTCCCTCTGGTGAAATTATGGGAGGTTATGGACAAGAATTACCCAGGTAGGGCAGGCATGGATGATGGGTCATAAACCCTTGGAAAGAACATTCTCGAATTGATAAGATCTTAGGTCCATTTGAGCATTTCAATATGCTTTGTGTTTTCCGATCTGTAAACAACACAGATTGTGTTGTGCTGTGTTATGTTGTTTACCCCAACTGAGTCAGAGTTAGAGGCAGATCTTACTCTCAAGGAACCTATAAAAGAAGCTGAAAAGCTGAGGGGAAATAGCAAGGGGCTAGAGGAGGTTAAAGGACACCTGGGCATGATGAAGTCTTAAAACCCAGATGGGAAATGATGACCCAGGAGAATTCCCTAATGGAATTAATTAATTAATTAATGGAGGACCTGGGAGAAAGGAGCTCCCAGATGTCTACTCTCCATCTTCTCCAACCAGAGAGAAGGAGGGGCCTCAGAAACAAAGTAATGACGTATGAGTTTCCGGGTTGATTTCATCCTACAGATGGATAGGTTTCTGGAGAGGATGAAGTCCAGAAAAGTAGCTGGGTAGGAAGTGATGAGGAGGATTCCCTGAGTGCCCTTCTTAAATGGTGGAAGATCTGAGAGGAGCTTCCAAATATCTCCTGCCACCCTCTCCAACCAGAGGGAGGGAGGGAGGGGCCCTAGCCTTACTACTTATTGGGTCACCTTGAGTAAATCACTTTCCTCTGTGGCCTCAGTTTTTTCCTTTGTAAAATAAGGAAGTTAGATTAGATAATCCCTCAATTCTTTCCCAGATGCTATGCTTCTATTATTGTGCAAGTTCTATCTTTATCCCTTTCTACCTGTGAGTTCTGGGCCCATGTCTTGATCTCTAAAATGAGGATAACTTGTACTACTTCCATCATAGGGAAACAGACTGAAGCTTGGATTAAAGGGATCAAATTTGTTGGTGAGCTAGAAAACATTACATAAATGTCGGCTATTATTATTAATAATAATTTTCCATTGATGCCAGAAATTTTATACCAAACTGTGCTGTTTTATGTTTCCATTATTTTATTTAAGTTATAGGACTTAATACAATAGGATAAAAAGTCCAGATTTCTATCGTCTCAAGAGACCCTTACAGGGGCAGCTAGGTGGTGCAGTGGATAGAGCACCGGCCCTGAAGTCAGGAGGACCCGAGTTCAAATCCGACCTCAGATCAACACTTGACACTTAATAGCTGTGTGACCCTGGGCAAGTCACTTAACCCCAATTGCCTAAAAACTAAAAAAAAAAAAAGAGACCCTTATGATAAATGCATGTGTGGCCTGGGAATTAGAGGTAGATCCCAGAAGGGACACCTAAGGCTTTGGTTGTGACATTAGTCTGATGAATTGATGAGATTATCTCTGTTGCCACCTAAAAAGCTAGGACAATCTAACCTTCTGATAAACTATGGGGCAAGAGGGAAGAGAGGTGGGAGGAAAAAAGCATGGTAGTAGCAATCCCTGAGGAGGTGGTGAGTGTTGATGAATGTGGGCAATGACTAAGAGGAGGCCCCAGCAGAGTACCCCAGTAGAGGCTCTTTTTTGGACTATTGAGGAAGGTAAGGGGGAGAGAGTGAGGACAGTTATGAGAGCCTTAAGTCTGAGCTATACCGGCCCCCGAAGGCTGGCAATTCATTAATTTATAGTATATAAGGACCAGGATTCATGGTACCCAAACCATTTGTGGGTTAATGAAATGAGTTGACATACAAATGAATGAATGAATGATTGAGGCTGGAAAAGCCAAGTGTCTAGAGACCCATGACCCTCCACAGCTACAAGTTGCCAACCCCAGGGGAATGCATGGTCTTTGAGGTCCCCTCCTGCTGGAACAATTTTTTTAAGTGTATGCCTTTGAAGTATTCCAGGGTAAAACGTGTTGTATTTTCAAGAGACATTTTAGGCTTTGTTCTGTTCCATGTCTCCGCTTTCACCCCTTCACCCTACCCAGAAACATTTTTCATTTCCTCAGTGTTCCAAATCCAAATGGCCATTTCTGACCCAGGACCCTCTAGAAGGATGGGGCAAGAAAACAGTCTCGCGATGGTTATGGGCGGCCTCCTGTGGAACAGTGACATCTAGTGGCTATTCTTTGAAAAACAAAACCAGGAAAAACGTTTCTTGCTCACAGTTGTTCAGCAGTGCTGGGGGAGCATCCTCCCCTTCATGGACATGTGGAGGGGGGTGGGTAGGAAACCTTCCACTGCATTCCAGACTGCCATAGAGCCAAGTGGGCACAAATGTTTAACAAATAGTCTTTGAATATAACTATTTTAAGAACCTATCGGATTAAATTAACCCATCTATCTAACCTATAGACATGGCAGCTATGGAAAGGTGACACCCCAGAACTGATATGGTTAGAAAGCTTATTAACCTAATTTTAAATGAGTAAATAGATTTTAAAATAATAAAATATTTATAGTTGTTATTTTTGATATTTGTTAACATTAATCAATATTCATTAGTTGTAATTATCTCTACCTGTTTCGGTATATTAGACATATGTGCGTGAATATCCTGGGGCAAGTCTGTCCTCTCTGAGCTTCATTTTCCCCACCTACTAAATGAAGGATTGACCTGGATGGTCCCTAAGGTCCCTTCCAGCTTTAATGATCTGTGGTTCTAGCATTCAGATTATTAGGCTAAACACAAAATACACTTTTTGCAAATTACTCTTCATCATCATCCCAGGTCCTGTGAATTTTGATACAATCTAGAGCAGGGGTGGTGAACCTGTGGCCTCGAGGCCACATGTAGCCTTCTAGGTCCTTGGATGTGACCTTCTGACTGAGCCCAAGTTTTACAGAACAAATCCTTTTATTGAGGGGATCTGTTCTGTGAAGTTTGGATTCAGTTAAAGGGCCACGCTTGAGGACCTAGAGGGCCACATGTAGCCTCGAGGCCGCAGGTTCCCCACCCGTGGTCTAGCATTTTGCATCTCTTCTGGCCCTCTCTCTGCCCACGAGACATCTCATTCTGAGTTTTTACTGCATCACCATCTCCCTCAGTCCCATGACTGGTGCCTGAGCAAGGCGAGGCGTGTTCAGGGAGGAACAATAAGCAAGTTTCTCTACATGCCTGGATATTCAAATTCAGCAAATGTTTATTAAGCACTTCTATTAAATCAGATAATATATTCAACACCTGAAGGTAGGAGGTCCAGATGCCTAGCCTTGCTCACCCTGGAAACCTCCCATAAGGGCACTCAGTTGTTTTGTAGCCTCCCCTTTCAATCCTTATCTCAGTTCTGCAGGCTTCTATAGCAGCTAGCCAAAGGTAGAGGTCCTGGCCTTGCCTCAATATTACAATTTTGGTAAGTTGCAAATGGTCCATCAGAGTGATCCTGCCTCTGACACTTACTGGTGTGGCCTTGGGTAAGTGCCTTCATCTCCACAGGCCTCAGTTTCCTATTCTGGGAAGTGAGAGAGTTGGATAATATGGCCTCTGAGATCCATTCCAGCCCCAGAACTATGCTCCTATGAGCCTGTGGAGTACGCTCAGAAATAGAATGGCTTGGAGCATGGAAGACAGACAGGAAGGGAGAGGAATAGAAAGCATATTAGAGGTATTGCATGGTACAATGGGGAAAAACAATCTGGATTTTGAGTCAAAGGACCCATGTTTGAATCCTGACTTTGCTATCTTATCTATGTGGGCAATCCACTTAAAACCCCAAGTCCCAGTTTCTTCATCTATAAGATGAAGTGGTTAGATTTGACCTCTGAGGTCCCTTCTTACTCTAAATATATGAGCCAATTTCACAAACATAGAAAGATCCCAGTTTCTGGAAAGATATTCTCCTTTCAATCACATTCACTGGGATCTGATTTGCATGTCTGCTAAACACTATTCCTCTTAATCTGCTTTCTGTTTTTGTTTTTTTGTAGGAACTTTTACTATATCACCATCCTTCGTGACCCTGTGTCCCGGTATTTGAGTGAATGGAGGCACGTTCAGAGGGGAGCAACTTGGAAAGCCTCTTTGCATGTCTGTGATGGAAGGTCTCCAACTATTGAAGAGCTCCCCAGCTGTTACACAGGGGATGACTGGTCTGGCTGTTCTCTTAAGGAATTTATGGACTGTCCCTACAATTTGGCCAATAATCGCCAGGTCCGCATGCTTTCTGATCTGAGTCTGGTTGGCTGTTACAATCTGTCCGTGATGCCAGAAGAGCAGAGAAACAAGGTTCTTCTAGACAGCGCCAAAGAGAACCTGAAATGCATGGCTTTCTTTGGGCTCACTGAGTTTCAAAGGAAGACTCAGTATCTATTTGAGAAAACCTTCAACATGAACTTCATCTCGCCCTTTACACAGTATAACAACACAAGAGCATCCAGCGTGGAAATAGATCAGCAGACTCAAAAGCGGATTGAAGCCCTCAACTTTTTAGACATGGAATTGTACGAGTATGCAAAAGACCTTTTCCTGCAAAGATATCAGTTTACAAGACAGAAAGATCATCAGGAAGCCCGGCGGAAGCGTCAAGAGCAACGGAAAATTCTGAAGACCAGGCATGCTCACAAGCGCGATCAAATCGACAACGCGACTACTGATTACGTAGAGGATGTCGAAAAATGGCGATAATCAGAAATGGAAACCTCGTCTTGAACCCTAAAGTACCAACGAGGACAAAACGAATTTGAGAAAGTGAAATACTCCAAACATATTCTTCCCTAAATGGGGAAGCAAAAACCGTTCAAATGTTGCCTCTGCAGATGCCTTTCAATTTCATGTTATACCATGCGTGGGTAAAACAATCTTAATGTGTAATTAAATTTTGGACTACTTATGAAATCGAAATGCCAAACCAGGCTTACCAGAAATTGATGCTTAGATATTTCAAGGAGTCCTTAAATTAGTTATGGATACAAAATGAAAAGACAAAATGTGACCCTTTAACTTAAGCCTAAGAATTGGTATTTAAATTATTCATGATGCAAGTCAATCTTGGACGCAAACATCTTTCCAGTGATAAGCATGAGCCTAAGGACAGAATAAATAAATAAAAGGGAACATCTTTTTTTTTTTAATTTTCTTATGAAATTTTTTAAAAGACTCTATTTGAATAGAACACCAACTACTAGTGATGTTTGCCAAACTAAAGAAAATTTAAAATTTCTCTGAAAGATGGTAACTTGACAGATATCAGTATTAGCTTTTAAAATCAAAAGAGAAGTCACATGTCTTGTTACATAGAGAAATACTCCAAACGTCCAAATGTTTCTACCCACAGCTATTAAAGACTTTAAAACTGGATGTCTCTCATACTAAAAAAAAAAAAAGAAAAAGACAAAAAAAAAAAGAAGAAAAAGAAGAGTAACAACAACAAAACAAATGCCATTTCGCTGAACTGAACACCAATATAAAGAACCGAAGGCCAGCATTTTTAGGGCACTGTAATTTCAAACATTCTGTAACGGTTTGAATCCCACTCCCCATTCAGGAAAGATTTCTTCAAATTGTGCTCATTTCTACCTGACCACCTGTCATCCTTCCATGTTAAATACAAGCTACTGCCTGCGGTTCAAGATACCAGATTCCAATCAAGACTTCCATTTGATGAAATGATCATATTGCTATGTACATAGTGCTGCCCTTCTCTCCAAGCTCATGAATAGGAATTAGTCCAGAACAGTGGCTGACATTTTTCATCATCAAAAGGAAATGAATTCAAACTGGACGTATTTGTTTTCAGTGCATTTTACTGTAATGTGTCCAATCGGGCTAGTTATTTCTCGAGTGTTAGTTTTGCATATTGGTGGAGTCTTGGTGGCAGAGCAATGTGTCCATCATTCAAGGACCAGCTTAGCTGAGTTTGAAAAGGTTCATCACCAGAGACTTGGCCACCAGGGGATGATTTTTTTTCAGCCACAGAAACCCATCCAGATGGGCTGCCAGGTCATGGGAGGCTTATGATCTGTGTTGGTGAAGGAATCGCAGCACTGATGAAATCATGGATCCTTGAAGTGAAATCATCCTTTTCAGTAGTCACAGGTCATGATAATCATCAAACTACAAAGTGTTTTCATGTGTGTGAGCAGATCTATACTTACACGGTAGCATAAAAGACTATACCTTCGGTACTTTGGACAGCCTGAAAAGAAGTGTTCTGCAGCTGAGCTTAGTGTAAATACAAATCACAGTTCTTGGAGATCACACGACTAGAGGAAAAATAATTAGATGGTATACATCTCCATGCAAGAAAAAAAGGAAGATATTGGTATGAATGGAGTGCAGTCCTAAGTTTTCCATATTAGCAAGCATTTGTAATTGCTGGAATTTCCCCTTTTACATGCTTTGTTACACTTTTAAAGACTTATGCTGGCTGACTAACCCTCTTGTTACTGATATTGGAGAGTAATAGAAGGAGACTAGAAATAATAGATGTATTTTCAATGGGTTTCATACTCATGGGGGTAGGGGGGGTGTGACTAGAAGGTAATAAGACTGAGGGCTTAACAAACAGATCAGAACCTCTGAATGAATATTGTCATTCAGAGAAGGCCCTTGGAAGGGGTGTATTCACTAATTCCAAAGAGGCTTGCCGGCACCCACAGCTTTGTTCTGGATCACCTCCATGGTGGCAAATCATTTGTCTTTGGAGAGTGGAGTTAATTTTTGGAAGCAGCCAAAGGCCATTGACAATCGAATCTAGGGAATAAGACAAATGATCATACTGGGGAAGAATGATTTCAACTCCCCCAAAAAAGTGTGGCTCTAAAGCAGTGAGATGGATTTTCTCTTTCTAATAGCAGTTCCCAAAGAGAAGTCCCATAAATAGGCTCAGCACTGACTGCTACAAATGTGTAGCTTTCCGAGGAGACTGCTTGCAAGGGGGCAACACTCACTTGATGCTAGGTGGTGTAGTGAAAATAGCCCTGGATTTGTAATCAAAGGGTCCGGATTCAAATTCCGGCTTTATTTCCTAGCTATGGGAGGCAGTGTTACACAGTGGACAGACCACTGATTCTGGGATCAGAGGGTTCAAATTCTACCTCTGATACCTACCACCTGTGTGACCTTGGGCAAGTCACTTAACCTCCCTGGGCCTCAATTTTCTCATCTGTAAAACAAAGATTGAATGAGATGACTTCTGAGGTCTCTTCTAGCTCAACATATATGATCTGGGGATGTTCCCCTCTCTGGGCCTCAGTTTCCCCCTGTGTAAAATCAAGGGGGTTGGATGAGATTAACTCTGAGGTCCACCCCAACTCTAAATCATCTGACTCATTTGGTTGTGTAAGTTTGGGTCTATTTATTTCCATCAGTCTTGTTATTTTCTGGTCACCATGCGTCCACTTCTTGCTTGCGCTATCTGTTTTCATCAGTGATATTCCGTCAAAAAATTGGACAAGAAGCAGAAAATGGGCTTTAAACTTCCTTTCTATTGCTTTGTGCTCGTGTCAGCATAGCTAAAAGGCTCTGTTATGTGTGATGTAGTATTGCAGTCCCAGGATACTGAGAACTGACCAACGGGAAGAGTGGACCAAAATGAAAGCCACTCAAAAGGCAAAGGAAGATGTTAGACAGGTGGAGCAAACACCCCTTCCTGTATGGTGAGGATTTTCCCATGAAGATTCCACGCACCAGGATGGCTGTATCTTGCCTGTGTTTGAGTCCTTCTCGAAAATGAAAATGTTGGCTTTGAAAAGAGAGAGGCAAGGTCATAAATGGGACAAAACTTTGAGCCTGCTGCTAAGGATGTGTATTGTGTTAATGCTGTGGTGTGCATGGTTTATAACGATTTGATATGTTTTCTTTGTCTAGCCTGTTTATTGTATATATGGGGATGTCTGAATATAAGGATACAGGTTTGTCATCATCATAGAAAATCCTCTTGGTTTTCCTTGTAGACATCCATCCAGTTATGTAGATTTACAAACCATTCCAACGATTTTGATTGTGTAACGTAATAATAGAGGTGAAATAAAATTTAACTGCAGTCTTTGATGTCATTATTTCGGGGGTTTTCTCCCACTAAAACTGCGGCATCGCAATGTATCAAAGACTTCTCTCTAGGAATGCAATTTTTTTTCAGCTGTCTATCAAGACACCATCTTCGTCCTCATAATCTCAGGTCCATTGGGATGGAAATCAGAAGTTGTCTCATCTAGCCTTCTTCATTTTACAAAGGAGGAAATTGAGACCTAGTGAAGGGAACAGCCCCAGATTTCATTGATGAGGAAAGCTTCGTGCCACTAATGGAGATCACCAATTTGTGTGTAACTCATAGTCTTAAAGGGGTTGCTTAGAGCCCTAAGAAATTAAATAACTTATGCAGGGTCACATAGTTAATATATATCAGAGGCAGGTTTTCCTGACCCCGAGACCAGCCTTCAAGTCTCTCTATCACCTTTCCACCCCACCCCATCACAGTACTTTACATTGCATAGCGCTTTAAGGTTTGCCAAGCACTTTACAGCCATTATGTTTCATCTGATCCCTGGGTTCAAATACAGTCTCTGCCACTTACTCTCTGTGTAACCTTGAGTAAATCACTAGCCTCAGTTTCCTCATCTGTAAGTTGCAGGTGTTGCATCAGATGATCTGAAATCTGTTCCTCTAAATCCACTCTGTTGTGGAGGTGCAGCAAATATTATTATTCTAGTATTACAGATGAAGAGACAGGCTCAGAGTAATCAAATGACTTGCCTAGGGTCACACTTCTAAGTGTCAGGGAAAGAATTCAAAAGCAGGTCTCCTCTGGGTCCAAGTCCATTGCTCTTTTCTCTGTACCACACAGCCTCTAGGTACAGAAGTGGGGCAGCACGTTCTCCCCCTCATCAGCTATGCCTCTTTTAACTCTTTAGGCCCAGGGGCAACTAGGTGACACAGTAGATAGAGCTCTGGCCTTGGAGTCAGAAGGATGTGAGTTCAAATCTAGTCTCAGACACATGACACTTACTAGCTGTGTGACCCTGGGCAAGTCACTTAACCCCGATTGCCTCACCAAAAAAGCAAAAAAAAAAAAAAAAACCTCTTTAGACCCTCAGACATACTATTTCATCTTACTGGTTAACAGCTGCCTGTGAAAGATGGAGTTTGTCAAGAGTAGCCAGTTCAAAAAAAAAATCCTCTTTCCTATCCAAAGGGTTACAGAAAGAAAGAAAAATAGCTGTGCCATTCCTTCTATCCACAGAGATGAAAGTGAATCCTTGTTGGAAGGCTTCAGATAATGTCTAGTTATCCAGTCAATTCCCAAAGAAGAATCCCCTCTCTATCATAGCTAATAAGTAGTCATTCAGATTCTTTTGAAAACTTCCAGTGACAGGGACCCCACTACAGTGGGACATTGCCTTCTAATTTGGGACAACTCTAGTTCATCAAATCATAGATACAGAGCCAGAAGGGACTTCAGATGTCATTTAGTCCATCCCTTCATTTTACAGAGGAGGAAACTGAGGCCTATAGAGGTTAATGACTTGTCCAAGGTCACATACCTAATTAGAGGCAGAGCCAGGATTTGAAATTTTTAGTGCATTTCATGTTGAACCTAAATCTGCCTCTCAGCCTCTACGATTATTTTTTTAAATTTTTTTCTAATTATATTGAAGTTTTCAGGTTCAGGCTTATCTTGCAATTTTCTGAAGAGAATGTTGTTTTCAATTCCCCTAAATCAAATGGCTTTAAAAAAAAAAGAAAAGAAAAAGAAAAAGAAAACCATGGAGATCTTCTGTAATTTCTGTTTGGCCACAAACTTTTTGTAAAGAAATGTTGATTGCAAGGTTTTGTCAGTTAATCAAAGGTTGAATGGACAGCCTGAGGTCTATATTGCTATCCTGAATCACTCAATAATAATGTATTAAATACCAGTTTTGTGCCAGGCACACAATTATTTGCAGAGAATACAAAAACAAAAGTGACTATAGTGTTCCTAACTTCAGGGAGCTTGCAGTCTAACCAGGGGAAATAAAATGTACGTATATAAGAGACACAAGCATTTCTTAAGCACCTACTATGTGCCAGGCACTGTGCTAAGCATTCTACAAATATCTCATTTGATCCTCACAACAGCCCTGGAGGGCAGGTGCTATATAGGTATATGTATAGGTACATACATATAGACACATATATACATGTATACACACACACACACAATAGATACGTGATGATTTTAGGGAGAAAGCACTAACAATGTCATGCAGAAGGCAATCACTGAGCTGAGTGTTGACAGAAAATTAAGGATTCTAAGAGATGGAGTTAAGGATGGACTGCATGGGGGAGAGCCAATGCAAAGTCATGGAGATGGGAAGTGGAGCTCTCTGTATGAGGAACAGTAAGAAGGCCATTTTTGTTGGAACGTAGGTTGTGTGTGGGGGGGGGAGAGGAAGAGAGAGGGAGAGAGAGAGACAGAGACAGGGAGAGAGGGAGAGGGAGGCAGAGACAGGGAGAGAGGAAGAGAGAGGGAGAGAGAGGAAGAGAGACAGAGACAGGGAGAGAGGAAGAGAGAGAGGGAGAGGGAGGGAGAGAGAGACAGGGAGAGAGGAAGAGAGGGAGAGAGAGAGGAAGAGAGACAGAGACAGGGAGAGAGGAAGAGAGGGAGAGAGAGGAAGAGAGAGGGAGGGAGAGAGAGGGAGAGACAGAGACAGGGAGAGAGAGAGAGGAAGAGAGACAGAGAGGGAGAGAGAGAGAGAGAGAGAGAGAGAGAGAGAGAGAGAGAGAGAGAGGGAGAGAGGGAGGGGGAGAGAGAGAGAGAGAGAGAGAGAGAGAGAGAGAAGTAATAGGTAATAAACCTAGAAAGCCAAGTTGAGTCCTGAGTAAAAAGCATATTAAATGCCAAAGAAGAACTTATATTTGGTCCCAGAGGTAAGAGGGAGCTACTGATGTTTATGGAGTGGGAAATGACATGGTCAGTCCTGAGCCTTGAGATATACTGTAATCACTCCAGCTTTATGGAAGACTGATAAGAGTGGGGAGAGACAAAGCAGGGATGCCAATTAGGAGCCTATTGCAGTAGTCTAGGCTAAAGGTGATGAGGCCCTGAATATAAGTGGTGTCTATATAACTAATGAAAAGAATACATATCTGAGAGATTGTAGAGATAGAAACAAGATTTGGAAACTAAGTGAGTATGTGGTGGGGAGAGTTAAAAGTCAAGGGTGAAACTGAAGTTATGAACCTTGGTGACTAGAAGGATGGTGCCTTGGACAGAAACAGGGAAATTCAGTAGGAGAAAAAGTATAGGGAAAAGATGGATTCCATTTGGACATGTTGGGTTTGAGATGCCTACAGGACATCTCATTTGAAATGTCCAATAAGCAATTGGGAGATCAACTCTCAGAGAAAAACTAGTGCTTAATAAATGGAGCTGAGTCATCAGCATAGAAATGCTCATTTAAACCCACAATAGCTAAAGAGGTCACCATGAGAATGAATGTAGAGAGGAAAGGGGCCCAGGACATTGCCTTGGATTACACCCACAATTGGGGGCTGAATATGGGTGATGATCCAGCAAAGGAGACTGAGAAGGAGCAGTCAGTCAGGGAGGAGGAGAAACACAGAAGAGTAGTGTCACAAAACATCTCGAGAAGACAGAGTATCCGGGAGTATAGAGTGATCAATATTGTCAGATGCTGCTGAGAACTCAAGAAGGATGAGGGTTGAGACAAGGCCATCTTCTTTGGCAATTAAGAGATCATGAGTAGCCTTGGAGAGAGCAGTTTCAGTTGAGTGATGAGGTCAGAAGCTGGTGTACATAAGTCTGAGAAGTGAGTGAGAAAAGTGGAAATGGAAGAAATTAGTGTCAAGAGCTTTTTTCTAGGAGTTTAGCTAAGACAGAAGAAAAATATAGGACAGGGATAGTAATCTAGTGATTTTTTTTAAAGGATGAGAGACTTGGGCATGTTTGTAGCAACAGGGAAGGAAGCAGTAGATAGAGACTGAAGACAAAGGAGAGAGGAAAGATGATGGGGGAGGCAATGTGCTGGAGAAGGATAGGATGGGATCATGGGTAAATGTAGAGGGGTTGGCCTTCACAAGAAGAGCCATCACTCCATCAGAGACTGGAGTAAAGGAAGAGAGAGTGGGGAGGGGGTTGATGTAAAGGCCTTGTAAAATGAAGACAAGAGGAGAAGGAGGTGGCCACAATGAATGGCCTCTGTGTTCTCATTAAAGGTGAAGTCATAGGAGCAGCTGGGTGGCGCTGCAGATCTAGCACTGTCCCTGGAGTCAGGAGGACCTTAAATCTGACTTCAGACACTTATTAGCTGTGCGACCCTGGACAAGTCATTTAACCACAATTGCCTCCCAAAAATAAAATTAATTTAAAAAATAAAGGTGAAGTCATCTGCCAGGAGAGTGGCGGGAGCAGGAAGGGATGTGAGGCTTGAAAAAAGTTTTGTTCAGCCTCTTGTCAGAATTGGGATAGAGAATCAATTGGAGAGATATAAGTATTATCTTGTCTATGAGCCTTGGCAGATTCTTTATGGGATCTTAGGGAAAAAATACGGAAAAGGACACAAGATAAGGTGAAGGGGGCAGGCAGGTGTGGTATCTACACTGGTGGTAGGAGCATCCACACTGATGAAATCACAGATCTAGCAGAGCATGAAATCTTTTCTGTCGTGTGCCCATCAACGAGGGATACCTGAGACAGAGAAATCATAGTCCTTGCCTCCAAACAATTGGGGGTAGCAAGTACAAAATGACGTAAGCCCATGAAACAATTAGCAAGCAATAAAAGGGAGAGCTACAGAATAAACATATAATTATGTACTCCACAGGTATACCCAAAGTAACATGATTAGAGTCAACAGAATGGTTTCCTTTCTCAAATCAAAGGCTTGGATTAGATGGTTTCTAAGGTTCCTTCCAACTCTAAATCCTGTGATCTGTTCATCAGTTTTGTGAAAAATGCAATACTAGACAGAACAATGTGACACGGGACAGTTAATTCCATAGGAACAATGTTTCTGCCTGCACAGAAAATGGGAAGCCAACGTC